TTTTTTTACTATTTACTGTGCTCCACCCATGAAAAATGACATAGTATCTTCAATAGCTTCTTAAGGCAAAGCATTCTGTTCTTTGAATTCTCAAAATAACATTTCCTTAGCATTTCTAAATACCTCTTAACCCTTTCTGTGTTTTATTAATTTTATTCTCTGCTTTCTTGGTGTCTGATTAGGTCTTAAAGTTAGAAAAGTCAGTTGGCATGCTTTTTCTCTTTTTACTGAAGATCTTTAACATCTCCTTAGAAAACAAAGTATATATATTCATTTATTCCTGGGTTTTTCCAATTTGAAGACAGAAGGATAATACCTTAAAGCAGTGGTTCTCAACCGTCTGGCCCTTTAAATACAGTTCCTCATGTTGTGACCCAACCATAAAATTATTTTCGTTGCTACTTCATAACTGTAATGTTGCTACTGTTATGAATTGTAATGTAAATATCTTATATGCAGGATGGTCTTAGGCGACCCCGGTGAAAGGGTCGTTGGACCGCCAAAGGGGTCGTGACCCACAGGTTGAGAACCACTGCCTTTAAAGTATTATAAGTAAAATAATAAAAATAATATAAATTATCTTAGATATGTAAATGAAAAGGAGTTTTTAAACACCATGTATCAGGCATTTCATTAAGCACTTTACATGCATTATCTCATTTAATCCTTAAAATAACCTTATGAAGTAGATGGAATCATAATCATCATTACTATTTTGCAGATGCGGAAACTGGGGCTTAGGTTAACTGTCCTGGCCAAAGCCTTTCTGCTAGTAGATGATGGAACCACAATACAAACCCAGATGGTCTAACTTAAGAAACATTTATACCACCAAAAAATCAAACTAAACAAGTTATTGGTGAAATTTAGGAAGATAGTGGATTATTTGTTCCTCTCTTTCTCAGACCTGCTTTTACTGCTTTGATATATTACATCCAAATAGCTTTTGGATGGTTTCACGTTTTACGCTTCTTCCAGATCATTAGGTGAGAGAATCAGTTTAGCCCAGGTAGAGACCAGGTTCTCTCTCTGTTACAATAAGGAATTGTTTCAAAGTGTATATACATTTTTGGGGGGACGCCCTGTATATCAAGCATATTTATAAATTGTAAATCAGAAAGTTTAAGAATGTCAGCTGTGTCCTGAGTTATTGACTAAGAGTGTGATTTCAGAGAGGAAGGGAGAGGGAAAATGAGATAGAAACATCAATGATGAGAGAGAATTATCGATCAGCTGCCTCCCCCACACTGGGGATCAAGCCCGCAACCTGGGCCTGTGCACCTACCAGGAATTGAACCGTGACCTCTTTGTTCATAGGTCGACCACTGGGCCACGCCAGTTGGACTGAATGGCATAATTTTAAGGGAAAAATATATGCATGGAAAGAAACAAAATAGTGGACATTCATTGTATTTACTGAGCATGGTTCCAAGTGCTTTTCATTAAATTCTCAGAAAAAATGTTAGACATACTTTTCCTTACTTTACAAAGTGAAGCAGCTAGGAGATGAAATTGCTTACCTAAGGCCATGATTTGAACCTGGGTGTCCAGTGTCAGATGCTTTTTGTATATGAGATATTTAATTATTAATTGCCTTAATGTAATGAACATAGGTCATTCCACTGTGGAATTTAAATTAGTTTGAACACATAAAAGGGTTTTCATTTTCTCAGAATATTTCAACTTGAATGTCTGCTGTGTATACTTGGGAGAGGTAAAGGGGGTGGGGGGAACAATATTTGCCCTCAGCATTTAGAGTTGGTTTTTGAGGGCACAAGATCACACATGAAAGGCGTAAGAACAGAAACAGGAACTTACAAACAAGAGCAAATTAATGAAGTACAAAGTAAAAGGCATGTCTTAAAATGTGCCAGGAACTTTTCATAACCAATGTTTTTTACTTCTAGCCATCATCTTTCACAGTGCTCTTGGTTCTTTTGGAGTATCTAAAGATTAGAAATACATACATACTAGTAGAAAAATAACAAAAACAAAATGAAAATGAAAGGATAAATTGCTCACGTTTACTGATTTGTGTGATTTTTTTTTTAATATATTTTATTGATTTTTTACAGAGAGGAAGGGAGAGGGATAGAGAGTTAGAAACATCGATGAGAGAGAAACATCTATCAGCTGCCTCCTGCACGCCCCCTACTGGGGATGTGCCCACAACCAAGGTACATGTCCTTGACCGGAATCGAACCTGGGACCCTTGAGTCCGCAGGCTGACGCTCTATCCACTGAGCCAAACCAGTTAGGACTTTTTTTCTTTCTTTTTTTTTTTTTAAAAAAATATATGATTTGTGTGATTTTTATCTAAATTGCAGAAAAATTATCCGTATGAATTTTCATTAGTAGAGTTTTATCTTGACCACTCAAGCAATGGCAGAGAAAGACTTAAGAGTTTTAAGAGAGGTGTGGATTTTTTTCCTCAGAAGTTATCCCATAAGGCAGTGGTTCTCAACTTGTGGGTCGCTACCCCTTTGGGGGTCGAACGACCCTTTCACAGGGGTCGCCTAAGACCATTGGAAAACACATATATAATTACATATTGTTTTTGTGATTAATCACTATGCTTTAATTATGTTCAATTTGTAACAATGAAAATACATCCGGCATATCAGATATTTACATTACGATTCATAACAGCAAAATTACAATTATGAAGTAGCAACGAAAATAATTTTATGGGGGTCACCACAACATGAGGAACTGTATTAAAGGGTCGTGGCATTAGGAAGCTTGAGAACCACTGCCATAAGGCTTAGGTTTATGTAGAAAAAAAGTCACTGAAGGATAAATTATATTACATTCTAGCTGCCTCCTGCATAGGCTGGAAAGATTGGGGTACATTGGCGATTATTTGCTAATGGGTCCTCATTTTGGGGGAGGGGTGATGAAAATGTTCTAAAATTAATTATTGTGACAAGACTAGGTTCCCCACCCTTTGCAGCACATTAGGACCTACTCTAGTAGCACAGGGACAATCCAAAGGCTCACCTCCTGTTAACCTTCTCAGTCCTGCACTGCCTGTGGCCCAGTAACTGGAAACCATTGTTTTATATACTTCATCCAGTTTCCTATTGTTTATAGCAGGAAGATAATCTGGTCACTGTTATGCTATCATGGCCAGAGTGGAATTCTCTTCTTTTGAGTAAGAGTAAGCATATATTGCTATTTCTAGAGCATATGTCTCATCATTCCTTAACATACTTAAATATAACACACTTTAATGTCTGCTTTATTATTTGTAAGAGTTATGTCATAATTTTAGCGATGTTCATTAGAGTTCATACTAAGCTAATCTATGTTTGAGTGTTATTTTTTGGTCAACTTGAAATTATTTACATAGAGAGTATTAAATTCGGGTTATTTGTTAAACCTCACCCAAGGATATTTTTCCACTGATTTTTAGGAAGAGTAGATAGGAGAGAGAGAGTGAAAGACAGAGAGGAACATCAATGTGAGAGAGACACATCAATTGGTTGCCTCCTGCATGAGTCCCGACCAGGGCCTGGGCCAGGGAGAAGCCTGCAACCAAGGTACATGCCCTTGGCTGGAATCAAACCCCAGGACCCTTTGGTCCATAGGCTGACACTCTATCCACCTGAGCCAAACTGGCTAGGGCAATTTGGGGTTATTTGTAGCAAACATATCTAAAGTAGCTTCCCATCAATGATGGATATAGTAGTATTCTAATTCTAAGGAAATATATTAACCATTTGTATTTCTGGTTGATTGATTTATCTTTTGAACAGTATGATGTTTGTTTTTAATATTAATTTTCTGGCTTTCTAATATATGTGAGAAAATGACTGCAAACCTTTTTTTTCTTATTGGATTTATTGGGATGACATCTATAATAATAAAAGGGTAATATGCTAACTAGACCAGAAGCCCTTCTGGGCGTCATTCCAAATGTCCTTCTGGACAAAGCCAGGGCCAGAGAAAAGCCTGGGTCCTGGGTGCCAGAGGGAAGCCTGTGCCAGCAGCTGGGGGAAGGAAGGCCTACTCTTGCACGAATTTTTGTGCATCAGGCCTCTAGTTGGTTAATAAAATTATATAGGTTTCAGGTGTACAATTCTATAATACATCCTCTGTTTGTATTGTGTGTTCACCACTCCAAGTCAAGTCTCCTTAAAGCATCACCATTTATCTTCCTTCACCCTCTCTGACCTCCCCCAACCCCTTCTGCAAACCTTTTCTTTACTTGGGCATATTCGTAATTAAGATCATCGTTTGAATTCATGGCTTGCTCTCTATTACAGAACAGTTGTTGGGACATCTATTCATAGATTGACCTACCATAATGTCAAAAACAGGCCAAACGTTTAGTCACTTAGCAGTTAGAGAAGTGTATGTTTCAATCCATTGGTGTTATAGGGAAGATGGACAAAGTGGGATTAAAAATATGATTTTACATTATTATGGATATGCTGTTGCTGTCTGGTAGGAGTTTTGGGGAAATGGTAACATAAAATCAGACTCTTAAGAGGAAAATTTGGGTCTCTACATGGCTCTGTCTCTGGTCTTATATGTAAAATTATTCACAGCACCGTTAGGTGGAATGAATATTAAAGTTGAGAGACCTAGATTCTAGTCTCAGCTGTGCCACTTATTACCATGTGACTTACCAGCCAATCACCGCCTTTGTGAGAGTCTCCTGATCTATAAAATGAAGATGAAAATAAATATCCTACCTACTGCAAAAGGATAGTAGGGTGTTAAATGAGATGACAGTGTTTGAGGACGCTAATGTGCAATGGAAATATTAGCTGTTAAACTTATTTTGTACATTACTATAAAATCTGTTGTCAACACCTAGTCTGACAAAATACAAAGCAAGATATAGTTATATTTCATACAGCTTGCTGTGCAAAAATATTTTATGTTGGAAAGGAAGAAATAAATCATAGGACTGATTGACAGAATGGAGATAGAGGCGATTGCTCTCTTTTTTTTCTTAATATTATTTTACTTGTTTTCCCATGATTTTCCAGGCAAAGAGTGTGTACAGCAGTTAGCTGAAAATACTAGGTATTTCAGGAGACGTCTGAAAGAGATGGGCTTCATCATCTATGGAAATGAAGATTCTCCAGTGGTGCCTTTGATGCTCTACATGCCAGCCAAAATCGGGTATGTTTTATTGCACAATACAAACTGGTCTCTCTAGGCTTAAGGTTTCCGTGATGTGAGACTCAGAATTAGGTATTTCGGCCTCTTCATGTTAACATGTATTCGCTAGATATGCCATTGATTAGTGGATTCCAACTTGTAAAATATGTTAACTTGTTAGTCTTTCATTAAACATACGTTTGAGTTTAATGCACTCTTCTGGGGGATCGAGATAGATCAGCAAACAATACACAAAAGTAAAAATCCCTCTCCCGTGGAGCTTACGTTCTAGTGGGGCGACAGACAAACATAATAGATAAGTAAATTATGACATATGTGAGAAAGTATTTAGAGCTATGGGAAATACAGAGCAGATAAGGGTCATTGAGCGTGCCCTGTGGCGGGCAGTTTACAGCATTAAATGGGGTGGTCAGGGTGAGCCTCAGTGGGAAGGGAACATGACACCTGAGCTTAAAGGACAGAGAGAGTTACCCACCTGGAGAAAGAAGCTTTTGTGCAAAGGCCATAAGGCAGGAACATGCTTAGCCAACGGAAGAATAGCAAGGAGGTGAGTGGAGCTGAAGTGCAGTGCCCATGAGGGCGAGTGGTGAGCCATGCAGTGAGGGTGTGTGCTTGCATAATTATCAGAAGTGCAGATTGCACCAGCTTCTTTGGCTTATGCAGGGTGTGTATAATAGGAAGCCTTGTCCTAGAATGGCTTCCAGTGTATAACAAAACCAGAAGACATTTGAAAAGCAAATATGAAATGAACCAATACACTTATTTGCAAAGTAATTACATGCAAAATTGTTCCAGAGATGGAAAATAATTCAGATTTGTGAGTTTTGACTGGTTCTTAGATATAAAATTGGATAAGGTTTAATTGAAGTCATTAAAGGAGCAAGTATTTTATTCATCTTTGAATCCCCAGTTCCCACCGCAGGCCCTGGCATTCAGAGGCCCCTCAGTAATGTTTATTAAAATGAATAGGAGGGAAAATTCAATCAGGGAACCTAGAAACATGGTGATTCCTATGATAATAATGAGGGGAAAATTGGGCAGGGGTGCTTACTGAGGCAAAAAGAGTTCAGTTTTCAACAGGAAGTCATATGGGCAGTTGGCCTTAAGGCCTTCAGAAGCAGTGGTGGAAATGAGCCAGGCAGAGGTGTAGAATTTTCCTCATTCTTGAAATGGAATTTTCATGAATAAACTGGAAGAGTTATTCAGTCTGGAGGACTGACTGAATCTAGAACCCTTTCTTTAGAGAGGACTGTGTCTATTTTGCCCTAGTAAAGCTGACTGTGTACATCATAATTAAGACTTGGAGAGAGTGAAGCAGAATTGGAATAAATCACTAGATAGTTTGGGAACATGAGCTGAAGATGCAGGCACTCAGGCCCTTGCTGCCACAAAGGAAGTACATCGAAGACTGTACTGGTACTAGAGGGAGTGGGGACTGGCTGGCGCTAATGTAATTAGTTGCTAATGTAACTAAAATGTGTGGGATTCTTTTTATTTTCAAAAAAACACTTTAAACAACTAAGGGGAAAATACAAAAAGGATTGGTAAGTCAAAAAGAGGAAAAGACAAAGAACATAATTTAGTAAATATAACAATTTACATGAGAGTTAGTATTATGTTATTTAGACAAGATACAGAAGTGGAGCAAAGTCACATGCCACCAGGGTGCCTTGGGGTTGGGGGTTAATGAGAGCTGGGTACTCACACAGCTGGAGCCTGGGGATGTGCTGGCCTCACAAACACCAAAGGAAACCCTGAATTCCAGAGGCAGATTGATGCCCACCTCAGTCAAAGAAATGCCTAGTGTTGGGGAGTTAGTGCTACCAGGCCATTTTACGAGCAGAAGTCCATGGAACAACAGATCCTCTGCGTCCTTATAATCTTAAGAGTCTTCTAAACTGCCAAGCCTAACATTTCAAGAGCCAGTTTTTAAACTCTAGTTCATTTTGAAGCCTCTGAACCACTGTTACATGTCTGGGACACTTTAAGGCCAAAATTGCAAATTACTTTAGGCAAGCCCTATTAAAAACTGGTCTCTGCCAACTGTCTTCTTCACCTTTGTGAAGAAAACCATTTGGGAGACAACCACTTTTGGACTGAGTAAAAAACGTCTTTGTGAACTGTCCATGTTAACTTGAAGAGGAAATTCCTCATAGAAGTGTCCAGCGCCTCTCACTCAGGAGTTTAGCTCATTCAGCCCTGCAGGACCTCTGTACTGTATGCTTTATGACTCTTCCTGGTTTCTTTTCCTTGCTTTCCCTTCGTTAGCGCCTTTGGACGGGAGATGCTGAAGCGGAACATCGGAGTAGTTGTGGTGGGATTTCCTGCCACCCCAATTATTGAGTCCAGAGCCAGGTTTTGCCTGTCAGCAGCTCATACCAAAGAAATTCTTGATACTGTAAGTAGACACTTTAACCTTGGTATAAAATACCTTATACTAAGAGGGCCTGATTATCAGATGAAATTATTTGTTGATCGTGACGTTCTTTGAGCACCTAAGATATTTACCAGTAAAATAGAGGAGGGAATATACAATGCTACTTAAAACATTGCTGTTTACCAAAAAATAACAAAGAAAAACCATTAGCATCACCCACCAGACCCTGTGTGATCATGGGGACTTTGGGGAATTTTTTGACTTCATCTTGTGCCATGCCCTCCCTCTTTATGGCCTCTACAACTAACTATACAGTTCTCTTTCTACTCTATGTTTCTACTCAAAACGATCTTGTTTGTTTTTTTTGTCTGTAGGATTTTCTTTCTTGAGCCTTCTCTTATCTTTTCCCTGCTAATTCCTACTCATTCTTCATATCTCCACTTAAAGGAAACTGGCTCAAGGCTATTCCCAAACCCTCTTGCTTGATGTTTCCTTGGAATCTTAATATTTCTCCTTAGCTCTCTAGCCATTTTGGCTCAGTGACTAGAGCATCAGCCTGTGGACTGAAGGGCCCCAGGTTCGATTCCGGCAAAGGGCACATGCCCGGGTTGCAGGCTCAATTCCCTGTAGGGGGTGTGCAAGAGGCAGCCGATCAATGATTCTCTCTCATAATTGATGCTTCTATCTCTCTCTCCCTCTCCCTTCCTCTTTGAAATCAATAAAGAAATATATTTTAAAAAGAAAAGATTTCTCCTTAGGGAATTATTCACACCTTTCATTGTTTATGGAAATACTCTCCATTAGATAAATCTTGAGGATAGGAGCTAAGTCTATTTTGCCCATTCTCTATCCCAAGACCTAACACAGTACCAGGCACATTTATGATAGCATTCAAACATTGCTGAAAGAAGATTTAAGTAAATGGAAAGACATCCTGAGTTTGTGGATTGGAAGATTTAATATTGTTAAGATGGTAGGCAGTACAGCAAGATCCATAAATCCATTGTGCAATCCCTATCAAAATCCCAATGGCTTTTTTTGCAGAAAGTTTAAAGCAGAGCCTCATATTCATATGGAACTATAGGGTCCCCAGATAGCCAAAATAGTATTAAAAAAGAAAATTGAAGTTGGAGGACTCAAACTTCCTGATTTCAAAACTTACTACAAAGCTATAGTAATTCAAAACAGTGGGATTCTAGCATACGGATGTTCTTATAGACCAGTGGAATAGCACTGAGAGGAATAAACCCAGGCATCTGGCTAATTAATGTTCAACAAGGGAACCAAAGCTAGTCAATGGGGAAAGACTAGTCTCTTCAACAGATGGTGCCAGGCAATTGGATAACCACATGCAAAATGATAAAGTCGGACCCCCACAGCATGGGTGATCTTAGAAAGCATTATGTTAAGTGAAAGAAGCCAGACACAACAGACCACATTTACATAAAACGTCCTGTAAAGGCAAATTCCTAGGGTCAGCCCTAGCTGGTTTGGCTCAAGGGATGGAGCGTCGGCCTGCGGACTGAAGGGTCCCAGGTTCGATTCCAATCAGGCACATGCCCGGGTTGTGGGCTCGATCCCTGGTGGGGGGCGTGCAGGAGGCAGTCAATCCATGATTCTCTCTTATCATTGATGTTTCTATCTCTCCCTTCCTCTCTGAAATGAATAAATATATATATATTTTAAATTCGTAGGGTCAGAAAATAGATTGGTGCTCCTGGCTAGGTGACTCAGTTTTGAGCATCATCCCGTACACCTAAAAAAAAAGGTTGCAGGTTCAATTCCTGATCAGGATATGTATGGGAGGCAACCGAACAGTGTTTCTCTCTCTCTCTCTCTTTCTGTTTCTCTCTCCCTTTCCTTTCTCTAAAATCAATAAACATATTGAGGATTTTTAAAAATTACTCTTTAAAACTAAGAAAGGAAAGAAAATCTATTGGTAGTTATCAGGGCTAGTAGTGAGGGAGGAATGAGGATTGATTGATAGGAGTATGAGGTTTCTTTTTTGAGGTGATATGCTTTATAATTAGTGATGAAAGTTGTACAACTCTGAATATATTAAAAGCGTTGACTTGTACACTTTCAAAAGGTGAATTTGTGGCATGTGAATTGTATCTCATTAAAGTGTTTTTTTTGTTTTATTTTTTTAATATATTTTTTATTGATTAAAATATTATATATGTGTCCTTATCCCCACGTTACCCCCTACCCCCCCCCCCCCCCCCCCCCGCTCTCACCCCACCCCACCCCATTGTCCGTGTCCATTGGTTCGGCCTATATGCTTACATATAAGTCCTTTGGTTGATCTTTCCCCCTTACCCCCACCCTCCCCTACCTTCCCTCCAAGGCCCAACAGTCCAATCAATGCCTCTCTGCCTCTGGATCAGTCCTTGTTCATCAGTTTGTTGTTCATTCCACAAATGAGTGAGATCATGTGGTGTTTATCCATCTCTGACTGGCTTATTACACTTAGCATAATGCTCTCCAGTTCCATCCATGCTGTGGCAAGTGGTAAGAGTTCCTTTTTCTTCTTCCTCTTCTTAAAGAATACCTTTCAGCATTTCATATAATGCTGGTTTGGTGGTGATGAACACCTCTAGCTTTTTCTTATCTGTGAAGCTCTTTATCTGACCTTCTGTTCTGAATGATAGCTTTGCTGGATAAAGTAATCCTGGTTGTAGGTTCTTGCTATTCATCACTTTGAATATTTCTTGCCACTCTCTTCTGGCCTGCATGGTTTGTGTTGAGAAATCAGCTGACAGTCATATGGGTACTCCCTTGTAGGTAACTGACTTTTTTCCTCTTGCTGCTTTTAAGATTCTCTCTTTGTCTTTTGCTCTTGGCATTTTAATTATGATGTGTCTTGGTGTGGTCCTCTCTGGATTCCTTTTGTTTGGGGTTCTGTGTGCTTCCTGGACTTGTAAGTCTGTTTCTTTCACCAGGTTGGGGAAGTTTTCTGTCATGATTTCTTCAAATAGGTTTTCAATATCTTGCCCTCTCTCTTCTTCTGGTACCCCTATAATTCTGATGTTGGTATGCTTGAAGTTGTCCCAGAGGCTCCTTACACTATCTTCATATTTTTGGATTCTTTTTTCTTTTTCAGTTGGGTATTTTTTGTTTCTTCGTATTTCAAATCTTTGACTTGATTCTTGGGATTCTCTTGTCTGCTGTTGGATCTCTGTATATTATTCTTTATTTCAGTCAGTGTATGCTTAATTTCTAGTTGGTCTTTTTTCATATCCTCCAGGGTCTCACTAAATTTATCGGCGGTTTCCATAAAATTCTTGAAAAACCTTATAAACATGGTTTTGAACTCTATATCCAGTCGTTTGCTTTCCTCCATTTCTGTCATTTGTGACCTGTTTCTTTGTCTCCGCATTTTTAATGCTTCCCTGTGTTGGTAGAGTGGTTTTGTGTGCTAGGTGTCCTGTAGGGCCCAGTGGCTCAGCCTCCCCAGTTACCTGAGGTGGACACTCTTGGTGCACCCACTTGTGGGCTTTGTGCACAGTCTTGTTGTAGTTATGCCTTGATTGTTGTAGGATCACTGGGAGGAATTGACCTCCAGGCCAATTGGCAGTGAGAATCAGCTGTGTTTGCAGTGGGAGAACTTCTGTGCTGAAGACACCCTTATGGGGCAAGACTTGCTTTAATGGGGCTTTGGTGCTCACTGAGTCTGCCCCCTGAGTGTGTCCCTTATGGATCTGAGGAGTTGTAATCTGGATATTCCCACTCTGGCCACTGGGTACACTGGCTCTTGGATCTAAGGAGGTGCTAATTCAGCCTCTGTCTGAGGTTACCCAGCAGGAGCTACGAAGAGAACTGCAGATTCCCCTTCCTTTTTTGGAGTTTGGAGGTGCCCAGATGAGGCCCAGCTGTGAAGCAATGCAAACTGCTGTGGGGCCTTGGCCTTCTCTTGGAAGTTCTGGGTCTGTCTGGCCCAGCTGCAATTTGTTAGGTAATTTTCAGGTTGCAAAGGGCCAGGGCATTCATATGCGAAAGCCTCTGCTGCAGCCTGGGTGGGGCGGGGTCTCAGGGAATCAAAGGGCGGAGCAAGCAGCTATGGCTGATCCTCAGCCCTACCCCAAGGGGCCCCGCGTCTCAGTGTCCCGGTAATTACTGCAAGCACCTCTGAGGGAAAGCCGCCCTCAAGTTCTGAGTTCTGCCTGCTGCCAGACAGTCCAGTTTCTTCCCGTATGAGTCCTGGGTCCCCAGAGACTTCCCGGAACCAAAGTTCAGAGCAGTCGGGAGCTTGTGACTCCCTCCCGTTTCAAAAAGACAGCCACGTCCTTAGGTGCCAGCCCCTTTCTGCGCGCACTCGAGCCTCCGTACCTCTGCACTTCCGCAGCTCCTCTGGGTCTCAGTGTGCTTTTCTCTTTCCTTCTAGTTGTAGAATTTCCACTCAGCCAGCCTTCCTGTAGTTCTGGATGATGTCCGTTTTGTCTTTTCATTGTATGTTTGAAGTTGTTGTGGGAGGCAGCAATTTCCGGTGTTTACCTATGCCGCCATCTTGGTTTCCTAAAGTGTTATTTTTAAAAATAAGAAGGGCAGTGCTATTGGTTCAGGAGCCCAGCTGTTCTAAAATACTCTTATTAAAGGACCACAATCAACCCTATAATTAACACTTTTTTAACTAAGAACCCATCTTACCCTGTGATCCAGTGGTCTGGTGTAGACTATTTGTTAACAAATGGTGGTCCTTATAATGGTTCCTTATTTCTAATCTAACCAGGTAACCCCACATAATAGCCGGCAGTTTCTAGTTACAATTTTACCTTTTATGTAAATAAAACTTACTCATCTGAAATATTTGGTTTGGGATCAGAGAAATTTTGTTATCTAGATCCCTTTGGGCTACTGTGGGTTTATTCCTGTCTCTATTCATTTTCTTTTTTAAATTGATGACAAAATATTAAGTTCTTCTGAAGTTTGAGTTCATAAATGTCCTTTACTCTGTGATCTTAGTAAGTCATGTGTTGTTTTAAATTACAAATTCTATATCAGAGGTCAGGAGCATAAATGGCTAATGGGTTCTCACAGGTAAAATTCAACCTTAAATTGTTTCCATATGGAGCTTTCAATTAAGCCTCTTCTCAAAGATACCACTGTTCTGATAACACATTGAAATCCAGCTCTTACTTGCTTTTTATATCTTTTCACATTTGGAGTGAAGAATGTTTTATCTTATGCTGGAATAAATAAGGAATACTATTAGTGGGCTTTTCCTCTCTACAAACACTGATTTTTAAAAGTTAAACTTAAGAATAGGTAAGTGTGGCTTTTTACTAATAACGAACTGATTCCCTCTTCTGAAGTAGAAGGTGTACATTTTTACATGTTATAACCATAAGTGGACAGAAGATGTAGATGGCTTGATGGAATGCAGAGAGTTACAGGGCTTCTACTGCCCACCTTGCTGTTTCTTATGAGATGGTGTCATAGAGCCATCATCTCTGAAGCCAAGCGCATTCACCCCAGGCTTGTTATTAGACCCACTAGGTAATGTCCACGGGTCTGGGGAGTGAGTAACAGGGCTGCAGAGCTACCGTGAATTGAAAATTGCATTCTTTGACCTATGCCAGGTTCTTTTATTAGAAAGTCTTAGCATCTAGGATTTGAAACATTTTGCTGTCTTCCTTGAATTTCTCTGAGGTATATCTGGGGCTTAGAGTTTCCCTATCCTTGCAGTAAAATTTTCTCTGAGAAATTCTGAACACATCCCTTTCTTATATTAGAATCCTCTATTTTGACTGTGTGTGCTGCTTTTTGGAAAGGTTAACTCTGTGAACTCTGATTCATATGTTGCTCTATGTATGTCATATTTCAAGAGCTTTTTTCTTCAATACACATAAGAGACCATACGTGGATTGCTGCTACCAGGTAAACCAGTGTAGCAATCAGGAAGACTTTGCCTTTTATAGCTTGCCTTACTGTTTGAATTGTTTTATATGAAGCCTATTTTCTTTGAAAAATAAAGGGCTAATTTTACAGGAAAGAACATTATACTGAGCAGAGTTTTGATGGGAAGATGAGATAATCTCCCAAGATTGGGCTTCTGGATCTCAAATCGAGCTATGTCCTTTCCCTGTTCCTCCCTTACCTGCAGCCCGTTCCTCACCCACACAGTCTCCTCCTCACGTTTCCACTTGTTCTTCCTGAGTCAGGGCAGCAGTCCACTTTGGGGACTTTCTCCATCTTGCATCTGGGAGGCATCTCAGCGCAGACTTCTCGTCAGTTTTCTGGAGCGTGATACTGGAAAGAGTAAGCACTGAAGTATAAAAGGAGAGAGAACACATTGTGGCCGGCCTGGCAAGTCCAGGGCACATGTTTCTTTTCCTGCCAAGCATAACATACTGTGGTGAATTATACCCTTTATCCTGAATACCTGCTATTCACAACCCATTATTCATGGTCAGCCCCACGTTCTTGCTCAGAAAGCAGCTCTTTGCATAGCTGCACTGTGGTCCAGCTGGAGTAAGCGCACTGGATACAAACAGTCCCACCGGAGGATGGGAAGCACTGGCCGCGCCTGCAGCCCCTGGCTCTGACCACCTCTGCTCTGTCTTACGTTTCAGGCTCTCAAGGAGATAGATGAAGTTGGGGACCTACTACAGCTGAAGTATTCCCGTCACCGGTTGGTGCCGCTGCTGGACAGGCCCTTTGATGAGACCACATATGAAGAAACAGAAGACTGAGCCTTTTTGGTGCTCCCTTACGGAAACTCTCCCTCACCCAGGACAGTGTGTGGCCTTTCTGAGCCAGTTCCAGGAACCACACTTCTGTGGCCGTCTCACGTGAAAGACATTTTCTCAACTACTGACGGTGGCCACCTCCACTCCAAATGGCATTTTGTAAATAGGAAAAACTGCTCCACGTCTTCCTTTGCTGCATTTCACCTTTTGAAAAAGGTGACTCACTTTGCTTTTTTGTCCATTAAAAAATGTTTTATTTTATAACTATCCTATTTGTGAAATCACGCTGACCCGCCTGTCTCTGCTAACCACGCAGGCTGTTGCCCTTCCCCAGCCGCCTTGCAGCCTTGGGCCCATCCAGAGCTGCCAGCCGGCATCACAGCCTCAAGACTCACCTGGCCCCCCCTCCCTCGGGAGCAAGTGCCTTCCACTTACTTCCACTCCAGATCCCGGAGGTTGCCAACCTGGGAATCCTTATTTAACCAGTCAAGTAATCAACCAAAGTGTTCTGCTTTTAGTCTTAAGTTTAACCTTTTAAGAAAAACAGAAAACGTTAACACTGTTGATATTCTCCCTCGTTGTGTAACTCCCCCTGGTCTAGAGCCTCCCAAGTCGTGATCTTGTTCCATTTACTGGAATGGAACAAAGATTTCTTCATTCACCATCAAATATTTCTTCATGATGGTCACTGTCTGAGGGTATGTCCAATTTCTGGATTCTCCCCAAGCTGTAACTTAATGCCCCACCCCCTACGTAGAACACTTAAATTGTTTTAAAGGCACCCGTACCCCACCCTGATCAGACCTCCATGGTGAAGCTGACTCACACTTCATGATTCTGTGTTCAAAGCTGCTCCGTGAAGTGATGTGCAGTCCTGCTGGGTGAGGGGCAGGGGCAGCTGGAAGAATTGATTACCACTTGCAGAACCAGACTGTCTGTGGTTTGCTCCTTAATGCTATCTGCTTTTCAAAATTATGATGGCCTCTGCCTGGGTCTAGGTCCAGATTAGGATTTAAACTGATAAAGGGAAATGTTGGTAAATCCTCTGCTCAGAAATAATTTGTCATGTTCCTATAAGGATTAAAGTTATAAACTTGCCCTTTTTAGAAGTTGGCCCATTTAAATATCACTCTTCTGAGTGCTGGTTCTCTTTATTCTTGATGTCCTAAGACAATTCTAACCTGACATCAGGGGTTTAGTCTCCCTTGCCTTCCATTACCTTCCCTTCTTTTAAAGAAATTCTGAACACATATCTGTTGGCCAAACTGGCACCGTCTCTACTGACTCTGTTTTCATATCAGGTAAGGGGACTTCTTTCAGAGAGCTTTATGCTGCTTGACCAAAGAACACATCTGAAAATCACCATGTTAAAGTTCTTTTATTTTTATTTTTTTCTGTTAATCAAAGCTTCAGTGAAAAGAACTTTAGACTTTATTCTGCCCAAGATCAGCTTGTCTTTTTTTAGTAGCCATCAGGTATGATAGGGAAAGATTGAGAACCCAATGGAAAAGAATCCTGTGAAAGTGTTTTTGCACATCTCTAATTGTGAAACCACTCCTTTCATTGGTAAGAATTCTCAGTCCAGATTCTCTTGGGCATCTTATCATCAGCTGTGGTATGTTTGTGCTAATATGTGTAGTGGAGGATGTATGCACTATTATTGTTTGTGAAGTTTTGTTTTCGTGTCTCAACTTGTCTTTGATCACTCTCAGCATCTGAGAGCCTTAAGCCCTTGAAATGTTCCAAGGTTTCATTTTACTTTTTTAAAGAATAGCAAGGGGTGAATAAAAGAACCATGTGGATATGCGGGGACTATACTTAGCATGTACAAGCTGCAGTAAGAAAGAAATTGTGGTGACCAAGTAACTCGTCCTGTAAAATAAAGTGCATTGCTACCCTTTCCTGTACATCTAGTGTCTCACCCTAGGACCCCATAGAGTACCAGAAGGCTTTTGCACTGCAGTTACTATGTAGTGGTGTAGGGTTTGCAAAAGTCACAAACTTTATGCAATGAACTTACTTGCTAGTCTTTATTTTGGCTTGCATGAAGTCAGTGCAATATAAAATATCGGTATGGGCATTTAAAAAGTTATATATCACTTTGCTGGCATAAAGTTATTTCAGTATAAAAGTAGTTAAATTATAAGTTTATTTTGAAGAAACAAAAGTCCTATGATCGATCCAGGACCTCTGCTGTCTAGAGGACAAAACATTATACATGCTGGTTGTCTCTTCTTGAAACTGTAATATAAATCTAGGATCCAGTCATATAGCAAGTATCATTCTTTAACCAAGCCCTTGGGGGAATACAAGTGTATATAAATACAGTCCTTGAGAACAAGTCGAAATCTGGGACTTGTAAGTATTGTTTAGTACATGGTTTAACACAGCCGGATTCGAGAATCTGATGGGATTCAAACAGGCATCAGCTAACCGTGACTACCAAAGCTGATCATCTGAGTCAGTCAATGCAGGTGTGACTCAGCCTTATCACATTTCCCCATCTCTCTCTTTAGCATTCTTGACCCATTCCCGGTTTAGGAGACTTTCCTGCAGATTACATCAAAACCCAGGAAATCTATAATGAGGGGACATCAAAATCACACACAAAGAATGGAGCAGATAGCAGATCATCCTCCCACCTTTGCCCTAGAATGTGATGTACATTCTAAAGCAAGGAACTATGGGAAATGCTCAGGGGCTTTGAAGCACTTTTTCAACTTTTTGCTTTGCTTTGGAAAATTTCTTCTCTATTTAAAACATCCTAGTCTCCAGAACCCCAAAGTCTCTATCTTAAACTTTGATGATAGGCTGAGGATTTCAGATGGTCAAAACACGCTTCTTCCTCATGTAGTCGCGTAAGGTGGACAGAATATCCTACATAACTACTGAGGACTATGTGTGCCTAATGCCCTTTCAGAGGCCAAGGAATTGGATATTCTTCCCATGATTTATCTCTGTACTCCCCTCCCTCCTGTATTTGGCTTCTTTCTTTCTGTTCTTGATTTTTAGAATTCCACAGGCAGTGAAGAAAAAGATTTGGGGGGATTCTTGTTTTATTAGACTTCATAGGGATGTGACAGAACCTGTCTCCTGGTTCTCTTGTGCAAAGAATTGCTGTGTCCTAACTCCCAGGGTGTCTCCTGGTGTTCTAGGTAAGCCAAAATGGATTCTAATCTCTACTTGCTGAAACCTGTGTGGTTAGGCAGTGGGGAGAGTGAGTGGTTTTCCTTCTGTCTACCTTCATGAAGATCCAGAACTGGAGCATTTCACACAGGTAAAATCAGCATAGCCCAAAGGGATTGTGAAGGTTATAAAAGTCAAAAGATTCTTATAGCTGTTGAGCAGCTGTTCGCTTAACTGCAGTCCCAGAACCTATAGATGTGCTGCTACCTATTTATCATGGAGGCTCAGTTTATCATGGGAACTCAGTGCCCAGCAGGCATCTTAATCCATTAAGCAAGTTAATCAAAACACCTCCATGTAGAGGAACGCATGTCCATTCTCTCCTCAGCTTTATCCTCATGAAATTTAGTGTCCAGGCTCCTAGCCAATTGCTATGTGCCCAGATAGCCAAATTAGAAGGCTGGCTTCCTGCTTATCATACTGAAGAAATGCTAGGACTAGCCAGTGATCCATTTGCTTTCAATTGTATGGAAAATGCTATTGCCTCTTTTGTCGTTTCCAGTGACCTGTATTCCAAGCATCTTTTGCTATGGAGTGAGTCTTTTCTAGGGAGGAAACCAAAGGGATTAGCTGGAACCCCTATTGAAAATGTTTATTCAAGTCTTCTGTGGTGAGTCTGCAGGTATCACATTCCCAGTCCACCCTTGGGAGTGGCTTGGTTGGGGAGCTATGGGCAAGATCTTGCTTACTGCATAGTATACATGAAAAAATGGCCTTAAACTGTGATTCTTTGTGGTATGATGAGATATAATAAACTGACCCTGAGGATGCAATGGCTCTTAAACTGCAGTTACTGTGTTTTTAATGAAGCAATACCCAAAGCTCTGTTCTTGTGGAGCAGTGGTGGGGAGGTTAGCAGTATCATGATGGGCTAAGTGTCCTGTCTTGCTGCCATCTGCATGGATAAGTGGACCCCTCCATGTATGTGGACCCTTGAGCCAAGTCACAGTCTGCTTTTCCAACACAACTCCCAAGCTTCTTGTGCAAAAGCTTGGTCCCTTGGTTCCTAGGGAGTGTGGGACATGTCACAGACTAAGGTGGAATGGTAACTTGTCTGCACCCTAAACAGGTCTTACTTCTGTGATGTTAAACCAATGATTGGAATGACAAAAGTCATTCTTGATGGTTCTTCACAGGATACTGGTGAGTTCGTGCTCACAGCCTCAATGATCCCTCTCTGTATAAAAGTAGCTAACATTAAGAGAAGGGGAAAGAGAAAATAAGAATAGACAAATAGCTTATGGGGAGCTGAGATCTTACTTTGTTGGCCCATATTTTTCCATTGACCAATTTGCCTGTAACCTGGAATTTGCAAGAGGTGCTGTGATAACCCCTCTCCGTTGCTGCAATGCTCATAATCTGACAAAGTGAGAGAAGGGGAAATTCAATAAAAATGTAAGTGATATTAAAATGTCTTTCTTTCTCCCTTACCCCTGTCTCCCTTTTTTGCCAAGTGATTTTTTTTATTTTTTATTTTGTTGGATGACTGGGAAGCTATAAATAGTGGGTTGGGATAGGTGTATGAGCTTTAAGAGTGCATGTCAAGAACTGAAGGGTATCAGAGGGGAGGGGGGTTGCAGGGCTGGGTGAAAAGGTGAAGGGATTAGGCAAAAAAAACCAAAAACTCATAAACACAGTGTGGGGATTACCAGAGGGAAAGGAGGGTAGGGACAGGCAGAAGCGGGTAAAGGGGATAAATGGTGAGGGAAGGAGACTTGATTTTGGGTGGTGAACACAATACAATATACAGATGATGTGTTATATAACAGTACGCTTGAAACCTACGTAATTTTATTAACCAATGTTGCCCCAATAAATTCAGTAATTTTAAAAACTGAAGGGGAGCTACTTGAGATAACTTAAGCAGTTGCCAACCGGTGGTCCGTAAGGTCTGAAAGGTTGGCGACCGCTGCTTAAAAATCATCCCATACAAATATATTGGTTTGCCCCAATAAAATATTTAGAAGGTTACATCTGCCTTTATTCATCAACCAATAAACGTTGGGTGCTATTTGCATGCCAGGCACTGCACTGAGCATTACCAATAACAGCAACAAACAATTAGATATGGTTCCTACTTTCTAGTAAACAAGCACATGAACATATATATCCTTTTACAAACTGCTAAGTGCCATGAAGGAACAGTAAAGAACACGGTAAAAGATTGTCACCAGGGTCTGGTTTAGACAAGGATGAGACAGAAAACGTCTCTAGGGAATGGAGGACTTGAATGACAGTGTGGTTGATGCTCCCTGAGCAAAGGGGAGATGATGAGGTGGTCTGGGGAGGAGGTGGTGCCGGCCTGCTGCACTGGGCTGTCCTGTGCACTGGGGAACACTAGTGAGAAGTTTAAAGCATTGGAAAAGCACTTGATTTGGTTTTTTTTAAACCCTCACCCGAGGATATTTTTCCATTGATTTTTAGGGAGAGTGAAAGAGAGAGGGAAAGGCAGAGAGAAACAACGATGTGAGAGAAACACATCGATTGCTTCCCTCAAGCATGAGCCCTGACCAGGGCCCGGGTGGGGAGGAGCCTGCAACCAAGGTACGTGTCCTTGACTGGAATCGAACCCAGGACCCTTTGGTCCACAGGCTGACACTATCCATTGAGCAAACTGGCTAGAGCACCATTTTTTTTTTTGTAGGCATTGACAAGTTGATGAGATTTATATGGAAATGCAAAGGATCTAGAATAGCCAAAACAAAATTTTGAAAAAGAAATTACACTACCTGATTTCAAAACTCTGTACAAAGCTGCAGTAACTAAGACTACAGTTGGCATTAGGATAGCCGTGTAGAACAATACTATAGTAAAATAGACTAGAGTTCAGAAATAGACCCACATATATATGGTTAATTGATTTTTGACAAGTGTCAGGCTAATTCAATGGGGAAAGTACAGTTGGTCAACAAATGGTGTTGGAACAGCTAAAAATCTAGGGGAAATGACTTTTGTTGACGTCTGTATAAACGTAGCTAACATTAAGAGAAGGGGGAAAGAGAATAAGAATAGAAAAATAGCTTACAGGGAGCTGAGATCCAAACCTGTAGAGAATTTTTACTAGTTTATTTGAGCCAAACTGATAACAATTGCCAGGAAACAAAATCTCAGCGAATTGAGAAAATGCTCTGGAGACTGGCAGTTCTGCAGTTTATTTTATACATTTGAATCAAGAGACATGAGGGTTACATGAAATTCACTGGTGGTAGATTGGGGAGCAGGAAAAGGTAAAGTGGGGAAATCTCTGGGATTGGATAAAAGGTAAAATGGATAGACACATACTTCTTTTACAGGATAGGAAATTAGTAACATTTACAGCACTTAGAGATGGTATTCCGGGAACAAATTAACAATGAGGGGTTCTATGGTCTCATGTTCTGCTGGAATGTTGTGCTCTGAGCGTCTTCTTGCCATCAAGGGTGAGCACGTAGGGAAGACCCCTGAAAGGCTGAAGGAGGATGCTTGTTGGGAGGCTGGACTGTGCCAGGGGACGCCTGGCAGGGGTGGCTCAGTGGTTGAGCATAGACCTATGAACCTGGAGGTCGCAGATTGGATTCCAGGTCAGAGCACATGCCTGGGTTGTGGGCTCGATCATTGATGTTTCTATCCCTCTCTCCCTCTTCCTCTTTGAAGTAAATAAAAACATATTTTTGAAAAAAAGAGGCGGTGGGGCACTGGCCCCTAGAGCAGTGGTCGCCAACCTTTCGGACCTCACAGACCACCAGTGGTCCATGGACCACCAGTTGGCGACCACTGGCCTAGAGGATAAGGAAAGGATAAGTCGGTCCCAGAACAGGGTCGATTGGCACGTACCCCCCCCCCCACAACATGAAGCAAATGTCTGTGCAACCAGGAACACTATGAAATCACTCACTGTCCCCCTCCCTGCAGAAAGACCATTTTTAGGCTTTAAATATGCAAAGTGAGCTTTGAGTTAATGCTATAAGTTATTTGTCCCTCACTGATGGTAAACCATCTAGCTGTGGGATACTCTTTACCAAAGAGGCAGGTTGTACAGCAAATGTGCAAAGATACAGCCAAAGGGAGAAAGAGGCCTTTCTGGTACCAAGGGGAAGACTCCAAGTCAATTAGGAGCCCCTGGGCCCTGGGACCTGAAACTACTTACGATTGGAGAAACCTTGTCCAGGCCCTTTTTGAATGCACTTCTCCTACAGCAGGAGAAAGCCTTCTGGTTTTAGCCTGACTACTAACCCCACTCCCATCCCCAGTCCTTCTCTGAGTGCTTGTCTCTTAGATAGGAGGAGCTTAACCATACTATACCCCTAGGCCCGTGGTTGGCAAACCTCGGCTTGCGAGCCACATGCGGCTCTTTGGCCCCTTGAGTGTGGCTCTTCCACAAAATACCACGTGCGGGCACGCACATACAGTGCAATTGAAACTTCACGGCCCATGCGCAGAAGTAGGTATTTTGTGGAAGAGCCGGTATTTTGTGGAAGAGCCACACTCAAGGGGCCAAAGAGCCGCATGTGGCTCGCGAGCCGCGATTTGCCGACCACTGCTAGGCCACCCCACTAGACTGGGAAAGGCAGATGGGAATAGGGACCTATTGTCTTGGGCCCTGTTGGAAAGTATCTCCATACCTGCATATCCAGTGGAGGACTGGGTAATCGGCCAAAGGGAAAGGATGAGTCATTTGGTCTGGGCCCACTCTGTGGGATTTGTGTATCTACCAACCATAAGAGATGCCCCCCTGGGAGGGTGGCAGCAAGTAAGGGATAAAACTTCAAGGATATGGGGAACCAGAAAAATCCCCCTTGGGGTAGTTATTACAGAATTGGGAGTCACTCAGTATCACCCCTTAACTGAAAAGCTACTTATTTTCCTTTGTAAAACCACTTGGCCGTATATGAACTGGGGGGCTGGGAGGGGGTGGTGGTGGAGAATCAGGCCAGTAAGCAGGTCTCTAAATTATAACACAATTCACCAAAATGGTATGAAATCCCTTATGTTCAATTTTTCATGGCCATGCACCAGAATAAGAGATGACAAAATAAAATAAAAATGTAGGACTACATCCTGAAGAGGGACCCCAAAAAACTAAATCAGTTTTGCCAGCTCTAAATTCAAGACCAGAAGACCTCCTTGACCTACTCCCTCCCCAAGGCCAAGTGCTCCCCTGATCCCACCTAGTCCTAATGGCCAGCCCTCCCCTGGACAGGATGCTACATCCCCTTCTGATAATCCTTCAAGAACCTCACCTCTTCCCTCACCACCTCCTTCATCCCCTCAACCCTACACCTCATCCACACCCAGGCCTCAGCCTGGCCAGTACTCATAGTGAGACAAGTTACCAACCTGGGGGACAGGAAAGTTGTTCCCCTCAGCAAAATTCCCAGTGGATAAAGAGATAAACTAATGACTGTGTATGTACCCTTGCCTTGTCAGATCTGTATAATTGGAAGGCACATTCTAAAGGATTAAGAGAAGACCCAGAGGGCTTCCTTAACCTGGGGGAATATTCCAGACCCACTACCTCACTTGGACAGACATCCAGACCCTCTTTTTTTAAAAAATATATTTTTATTGTTTCAGAGAGGAAGGGAGAGAGAACATCAGTGATGAGAGAGAATCATTGATTGGCTGCCTCCTGCACGCCCCCTACTGGGGATCAAGCCGCAACCCAGGCATGTGTCCTTGACCAGAATTGAACCCGGGATCCTTTAGTCCGCAGGCTGACACTCTATCCACTGAACCAAACTGGCTAGGGCCAGACCCTCTTAAATGTCCTATTAACAGAGGAAGAGAAAGCCCTAGTCTTTACAA